TATAAAGAATGGGACGGATTTAGAATCGATCTTTTTTATATGGGACCAGCTAGGACATTTTTAAATGGGACGAGTTAGCATGGGACGAATCAGGGGGACACCTTTCTTATTCCATGTCACTCGAACCGGCGAAAAACCGACGGTTAACTGTGGTTAACCGTTCGGTCAACTGGGAGGTTAACCGACGGTAATTCACGGTCAATCAGCGGTTCATTGCGGTTAACCGGAGATTTTCTGGGTAACCGCGGTTAACCCACGGTCAACCAATAATTGATTTCATTACCCGATATGGTCTTTTTGCTAGGATAATTCTATCGATTTCCTGTTTCGCACATTTATTTCATTTATTAATTGCCAATTAGTATATACACGATACAATAAATAGTAAAAGCACCGGAACGATAAAAAGGCGCCGATTAATATTGAGATACAATAGCCTTTTGTCGCGCCTAAATAATATATACTTAACAAGCTCACATAAAAATAAAAACACGATTTTCGAACAAAGAAAATTTAAAAAAAAACAAAAAGAAGCATCCGCAAATGATCAAACGCATGCTTAATACTCTTTTGAATGAAGAAACATTTTTGATGAAAAGAGAGATAACAATATACAAGACAACGTGAGATCAAGGTAATTTTCAAAAATTGTCTTGCATGCCTGAGTCAAAAAGTTCATTATTATTTATTGATTCTGATTCTGACTGCGATTTGTTTGTGTCGATGTTACTAAAATCGACGTTTCTTTTTTTCGTTCATTACGCCGTTTTTGAAGTATACTTTCGTGAATGGTCGGCCATTCGAAGCTCATTTCTTCACTATTGAGTTTGAATCGTGATCTTACGGCTTCTAAAAAATAGTAAAATAGTGAACCATGGATCATATAAAATTGATTCGACCTTTAATAGTATTGTAATGTTTATGCTGCACCAATTGACTTCTTGTAATGGTGTATAATTGTTCTTTTGTAAATAGCTGATCCATTACTAAGGCAACAAAACGACCTATTTGTGTTTGAACCCCATATAATTGCAATAAATCAATCGTGGTACCGTCGGGTTTCTCGCAATCCTAACGCGAAATGAAAATATACGAGACTATTTATCATGAAAACTTTACTAGAGATTTTTCAAACGGTATATCAGTCGGTGATTGATCTTCTGTGTTAAAATCTCCACCAAGTAGTGCTACGTTGATCTGAAAAATAATATAATAGTCTTGATTTTCCAGATAATTTCTAAAAGATTCTTACTTTTCTTTTTGCTAATGTTCGTTGCATTTTTTTTTGATTTTCAAATATTAAATGAACTTTCGCATCCAATTTGTCTATCGAAGTAGACAACTGTTTCATATCACGTAATGATTGTTTCATATCTTTGACTAAATCTTTGTTTGTTATTATGGACGATTTTAACAACGTTACTGCTTCTTGATTTTCATCATTACTTGTGGGGAAGAGATGTTTGCCACATAATTGCTTCGTAACAGATTTATTCGATGTTAATTTAATCGAATTCGACGAAGATTGTTTAGATTGTCGTGATTTAACTTCGTTCATTTGTTTTGATTTTTATCCTTTTGTTGATGCTGTTGAAGTTGATATTGCTACTCTTTCTTCTGATGAATTATTGCCATCGTCGCTCTCATCTTCCTCTTCATCAATGTCTTCTTCTGATGTTGATATCTCTAGGCCTTCTCCATAATTTTTGTCTTTTGTTATACGTTGAATATCATTCAGTGTTTGATAAGCAGAAGAACCGTCTGTAAAGAACAATACAAGTAAAATTATTATGGTGTGCAACTTGCCTTTTTTTCGTGATGTTTTTTGTTCGATTTTTTTCTGAACGATCTATTTTGAGATTTGTGGCATTTCATAAGTTGTTGTTGTATCTAGGACGAAATTTGAACAATTTGCGAGGTGTGCAATATAGTGTATAACTTACTATCAAAAGATGTCATAAGTAACGATCGCATTGTTGAACCTGTTGGATCTAAAAATATACGGAAAATAACATTTATAATCTAATTTGACTGTGATTGCAATCGTTAGTATTTTCTTTTTCTTTTTGATTCTTATTCTTTCGTATTGTTGATGAACCAACTATTTCAATACTTGACTTACTACTTGGCGTTGTTACCATTGAATATTGAGATAACTCTTGTGATGCATTCGATTTATCAAAATTCATAACTATTTCACAGTCTGATTCTAAATCAGTATTCATTTCTTTATCTAAACGATCAGCTGCTGCTTCAATTTCTGTTAATGATCCTATTATATGAAGCGTTTCAAATAAAAGGTACTAGTTGTGTTATTATGGTAATTCATTATAAAACACTCACCTTCACAGAGACAACAGCCAACATAACTTTTATTTCGATCTTTGATTGTAACTAAGCCGTTTTCCGTAATACAATGAAGATTAGATTTCTTTTTAATAGCGAAGGTATTATCACTCTTGAAAAGTATTAGTACATATAAATTATTATCATTGTTTGTTTGAGATTTTGTAAAATAATGCTTTTCTTATATATTTGTCGATGCCATTGAAAAAAATCAAATATACAATGAGAAAAATAATATTTATTATAACATAAAGGAAATTTAAAGACGAATTATATTGTGCATATTTTATTCAATCATGTTCCAAATCTATTTTTAATTCTGATAAACAATAAACATCTTCAAATTGTATCATTATACATTTATGATGAAACGTCAATATTGGAATAATATCATAATCGTTTGATAATGCAAGTAATGAGTACATTTCGTCCAATTTATTGCACACTTCTACAGGTAATTCGATAGAATGAGAAAGCTTTTTTCTTGATAAATAATACTTCTGTATAAATGCATAAAATTGATTCATGTATTGATAAAATACAATTATATTTCCATAACTAAGAGTATCTTTAACATCTCTATTAGTAACATATGATATGATGTAGCTTCGACATTTATATCGTTGATCATAAAGTACTGTATGAAATGTGATGAACAATTGTTTGTAACGTTTATAAAAACTAATATTGTCTACATCTTGTCCATGAGTACGAATAATATTCATTAACGTGTGACGATAATCATTCATTTGTTCATTCTGAATATTAATTTTATTAATACCACACGGTACTGCTATTTCAATTTGCGTAATTTTAATCATAGTTTCAACATCATACCAGTACGCTATTTGAGACACCAAGTGTTTGGTGCCATGCACCTTACTTTTCAAATATTTGATACAGGATTCAAACGTGAAAGCCTATGATAAAAAAAATCAAGATCAGTCAACTGTTGTTATATTTAATTTATATATATATATATATATATATATCTTACTGAAGATGTAGACAAACCTCCGTGTAGTCGTACCTGAGACGGTAAATGCAAGTGTGCATGCAAAGAATACAACTCCAGCGATTCATCATAAACATCGGCAATTGTACGACAATAATAATGAATTAATTTTTCAGCAAAGTTTACATCTTCAGCTGATTGTGGCGTATATAATAATTTAATAAGCAAACAATAAACGACCCAATGTCATGCATTTAATATCGGTAGACAAGAAATACCTAAAAAAAGAAAAGAAAAGAAAAGAATTAAACATTAGTTCATGAATGAAAGAAAGAATGTGGAATCGATAACAAACCGATTGGTACACCAAGATAAAGAACGAACAGCCTAGAGTGCTTAGCCTTCCAGGATTCAACAGCCCAAATTGATTCGGTGTATGTAACATGCTCGTTGTGTGGATATTGAGCACTATGTAGCATATGATCAATTTTCAATAAATCCACTTTATCGATTATTTTGCACCAGCGTTTTATAATACTTTCAACATGATCCAAACATACAAGGTGCATATAATCCAGCACGATCTGAATTGGATATGAAAAAATTCGTAACAAATATGATAATCCCTTCACTCCTTGAACGTTTGCTAATCACTTTTCTGTTGTTTTTTCTTCTGCTTCTTTAGCTGCTGCAATAAATCCAGAGTGAGTACGCAACTGTAAGTCATTTTTATTGTATGGGCATATTACAGATATGCCATTCCTAAATTCTACGAAATAATACAATATTTCTTAACTTAAATCTTAGATTTTTTCATCTTATTATCTAATGGTTGATATAATGAGCAGCGTGTTAAAATGCCTACATTCAAATCACTATATTGACTGATGTCAATAAGAAAGAATAAACCATCAATTATACAGAGTACCGAAAAAGTAGTATTTATGGAAATTATCAGTGAAGTCATTAATTTATAAGGTGTATACCTTTTGTCATGCAATAATTGCATGCATAATAACCGTTAAAGCTTGTCATTTTTAAAAACAATGTCTTAGCTGGCAAGTCAGCTAAAAAAATTGTGTTCGTACTACAAAGTTGTATTCGACATTATTAATATAAAATGTGATACCATTAGTTATAAGATATTCGATATCATCACTAGAACAAATCAACAAAAATTATAATCATGGATTCTTGTTTTCAGAAGTCGAACTCAATTTTCTATATTAACATTAAAAAAATTATTCTTCCAGAATAAAATAACTTACATCGTTTGCTTTAAAAATGCATTTCGTCTTAGATGATCATAAAGCTAAAAGTATTATATTAGTTTGANATTTTTTTGAATTTAAATGTGACACCCCTAATCGTGATGGTGTTAAACTTTGTTTTTGAAGTTGTTGATTTATAAAAAGAAGCTGATGTTATATCAGAGGGTGGAAATAAATTATACTTTTGTTTCATTAAATTAATATTCCGAGTAATAATTGATTTTAATTGAGTACGAACATCAAGATTTACGACTTCCACAATTTCATTTGTTTTTAATGTTCTCTTGCATAATGAACAACGATCATTCGTACAATTCTTGGTATTAAACGCTGTTTTTTCACATTCATTCAAATATTTCGAACATATAAATGTTGTCGATGGCAAATTGACTTTTCCGAATAATTTCATTATTGATTTCCATGATATAGGTAAAGTGTTTGGAATAGGTAATATCTTTTTTATCAACTTCATTAGATTAATGATATTGCTTTTATCTAAACTAACTCGAGATATTAAAAAGTCCATTAACATTTTAAGTGTTGTAACTGTTGAAAAACGACAGCCATGGTAAAGTGATGGAGATTGTTGCAAAACATTTTCTTGAAAATCATTTAATTCGTTTATATTATCATATTCATCATCATGATAATTTTCATAAGCGCTAATTTCTTCATTAGATGCTGTCATAATATTAGAAGATATTGCTTGTGCATTTTGTACATATTGACTAACATTGTACGCTTCATTACCGTTATCACTTAAACTTGAACTTAAACTTATAGAATAATTTCGATTATAATCTAATTTTC